ACACACACACACACACACACACACAGTCACCGCCCTGCATTGGCCTAGTGTTCAGTATCTCTAACACACCTTTCACACACACATAAAAACACATTTCAGGTGGTGTTCTTCGTGTTGTGTGTGTGTGTCTGAAACTTCCCAGCTGCCCAGAGGAAGGTGCATGCAGTGTTCTCTGTGCGTATACATGTGTTTGCGTGTGTGTTTTCACTTCTGCACACACCTTCTCAGTGTCCTCTTTCTTGACAGACTTGAGGTTAGCTCGGAGGTCCATGGACACTTTGTGCTTGGAGCCCAGAAGCGAACGGAGGATTGCATCAGCAGACACACGAACACGCCGAAGACTGGGCCTCTTAAATTTCCCCCTTAGGTCCAACACCTTGATGTTCAGATCTTTAATCTGGGCCAGGGATGAAAACAAAACTGTTGGTGTCTCGCTGTGGCAATTCTGCTGAATCCTAAAGAAATGAAATGATACCGTTCACGCACCTCCCGTGTGTTGAGCATGACTTTGGCCTCAATGTCATATCGCTCCTCATCCACCACATCTACTTTGGCATGGAGCTCTCTGCAGAGATCCTATACATATACACGATTAAAACACAACCAAAGAAAAAAAATACTGAGAGAATTATATTTTGGGAATCACAGATTTTGCAGATTTCTAGAGCAACTTCATATTTGTGAATCTGAAAAGCTATTCTACTTGGAATCCCATGAAACAGCTGAATTAGAAACACATACATAGAGGTTTGTTGATTAGTTGTTCATATGTGGTGCAGTGCTTGTACTGGTTGTGGACTTCAGGTGAGCGAATGAGTGATTGAATAGAATAATGAGGGAATTGTGGGAGGTTAAGGAGGAGTTACCTGTAGCTGTCCCTGGCTCAGACCACTGGTGTTCAGAGGAGGAGCTCTCTCTACCAGATACTTGTGTTTCTCATCCTCTTTATCAAGGATCTCCTGCTCCAGTTCCTCTTTGGCCTTTGCCACCATCAAACTCTGAGTGGGAAATGAATCAGCAGGAAATATAATAATGTATTACAGGATTCTTTGCTGTTGTTTTTAGATACGTGGCGGTCCAGCTGCAGAGGACATGGACTCTGCTGCTCCCCTCTGGTTAAATATATGTGTTACAGAAAATATCAAACCTTGAGCTCTTACCTTGAGCATCAGCTTCCTTGAAGCTGAGATCTTTGGTTTCCTCTGGATGGAAACAGGATACCATCAACACAGTTTGGATTTAATACATCACACACAGCTTAAAATAATACGTTTTTGGTTATAAGAGAATGTTATGATAGTCAGTAGACAGGACTCACCTCTTGCCTGTTTAAGAAGAATGGACAAGGAAGAAAGAGTCAAAATAGTTTGTTTTCATTCTTTATGTGTGAATGAATAAATGGTCTATAAAAAGAACACAAAGGCAGATCACTCACACATGCTCAGGCATTCTGCTGATGAGATCTCACTGGAAGAGACACAAGAGAGATTAGAAACAAACACACACACACACACGCATGCACACACACACACGCACACAGACACACACACACTGAACAGTTGTCAGTGTTTGTTCATCAGCTTTGAGGAGCATCAGGTCATCTTTCCGCACTTCTCTCTGTGCACGCTTCCAGAATGTGGCGTCAGTGTCAGTATAATGTAAACTGTCAACAGGTCAATCATGTGGAACTTCTCATATTGACTTCTACACTCCTGTTGGTTTTCATCTCTCTATGACTACTGGCCTCCAATTTTCAATGCTCTGAATAATGCAAAAGAATTGAAAGTTTGTGTAAAAGTACTTTGTAGAAGATTTTGTTTCAGTCAGGTAACTTCCGGAGTTGTTTGAGGGCATGTGGAAAGAAAGCTGGTGAAAAAAATAAGATAAACAGTTCAAATGCTTACTTAAAAAAAATGGATAATGGTTTTGGCTTAAAACTGTGGAAATCAAGACGTGTGTTTGGTATCAACATTATGATGGATTTGAGTTGCCTGCAGCTAAAACTTAAACTATGAAACCAAATTCACTAGAAAATCTCATTGTGTTAAAGAAAATGAAGAATGTGGGTTTGCCCCTTGATCTGGATTCACACCAAAATTCCTTGGGTCCCCTCTCACTGGAGAATATTGCTGCAAAATGTGAAATATCATGAAAAGTGTGACACGGTTCAAAGGGTCACGTTCTTTTTAATCGTATTTTAAGTAACCTAACTTTCAATTGTTTTCCCTTTTGTCATCACCTCATCTTACCCCTCCTCCCTCCATGTCTCAGTCACTTCTGCATTTTAACAAATCAACAAGTAGTTAACAGCCCTCATCCCTTCTCTGTCTCACCTCATCTCACCCTCTCTCTCCGCACCTACCTCTCATTTTGCGAGTCGTGAATGACTTTCTGCCAAGATGGGGTTAAAATATGCCCCCGGTGGATTAGATAAATTCCAGACTGATAGCCATCCCTCATCCCCATCTTTCTCCTCAGGATTATCTAGTGGAGAGGAATTTAGAGTGGCCTGTCTCCCCAAATAGACCAGGGGACATCTGATAGACAGCTGTGGAGGGCGATTTTTGCTCTGGGGTGCCCAGTCGGGATCAGGGATTTACCGCCAGTAACTTGTGGATGCTTATGAGGCTCTGTGGTGCAGCCAACTAGGCATTGCAAAACAAAAAAGCCAAAGGTGGTTTGGAAAGTTCACATCAGTCTCTGGTTTGAACAGCTGCTTTGGCCACAGAAATAAACCAGATAGTTTGTATATTTTCTGTTGATTGGAGGGTTCTGGGTCGAACAGTGATGGTTTCGGTACAGTGAAATCATGCAACTAAGTATATTTCATTTATAGCTCTATACATCTTTGTCAATGTCTTTGTTTCCTGGACTTATGCTGTACAGTTATCCCAAACCATTAGATCTAAAAAATTTCAACAATCCCATGATCCCATGACCAGATAAATTCTAAAATTCTATTCAAACTGTCATCCAGCTTGTAAACAAGATATACACAGAAGGAAGAAGACACCTGAAAAGCTTTAAGACCATGAAGGGACCTTACCAGTGTCAGACGCAGGAGAGAGATGCAGCAGCAGAGGCAGGATGGACAGAACAGTGATGAACAGAGATCGGGGTCCCTCTATATAACTGCACCACCCATTGTCTGGCTCCCTTGTTCTCTTTTGTTAGTGGAGGCTATTCTTAGTCCACCGCATCTCTCTTCCTCTCTAATCTTGCTACTTCCATTTGTCTTTCACAGATTCACTGTAAAGCCCAAAGCTTTGGCCCTGCACACACAGCACAGGACTATGAAGGTAAAGCAGAGGATGAACCAAAGAATGTCTGAGAAGGAAAAGAAAAGCTGATGCTTTGTTAGTATCTCCGCCGAGGAGGTTAGGTTTGTTTGTCATTTAGCAGGATAACGCAAAAACCAACAAACTGATTTAATTTCTGTGCAGAGGTGTGACATGATCCAAGGAAGAACCCACTTGATTTTAAAGTAGATCTTGATATACAGGCATTACCACATCACTTCTGTTCTATTGTCTTTAAAACGGCTCCCTGTATGTTTTAGAATTGATTTTACTGATTACTTTTAAAGCTCCCTATGGCCTTTCCCCCAGCTACATTTCAGACCTTTCAGTATTTTACAAGCATTCACGTACATTGACATTCTCAGGCAGAGGTCTTTTGTGTGTTCCAAACCCTAGATTGAAAAGTAAAGGGGACAGAGCGTTTGCTGGGAGGGCTTCAAAACTCTGGAACGATCTGCCTGAGGAAATCAGGTCAGCTGAGTCAGTGTTTTTTTTTAAATCCCTTGTTAAAACATACTTCAAAAGTAAAAAAAATCCCCAGTTTTTCTTTTATTGAATTAAAATTTTTAAAAAATCATTTAAAAGAATTTGATGTCTTTTAAATTAATATAATTTTTATAATTTTTGCTTTAATCATGATTTTATGGTCTGTTACTATTTTGCTGCCCTTTTAAAACACTTCGTAAGTTAGATTTTGAAAAGTTATTATTATTGGCACAAAACTTTGAAGAGACATTATTGGTTCACAAGTGTTATTCCAAAGAACTTCGATGGGCACTTGACCAGATTCGGGTCAAAATTCCACTTAACACTTGGTGTTGCTAATTCGCAGACAGCATACCCACTGAACATCAGCATGTTAACATGATCATTTAAACATGTTAGCAGGCTGACGTTGGCATTCTCTAGTTGCTAGAGTGACTGTAGACTCTTGTTTACCCACACCTAAATCTCAAAGGGCGGATCAAAATACAAGATATGCTTACAGGGTGGCTCCTGGGAAAACTTTGGGCAAACAGACCAACCTTCTTGACAAAGTGAAATATCCAGTTGTCAGTAACCCAAACAAAAACGAAGGGATAACTTCACCACAGAAATGTAAAACACAGTTTTGGAACCTGCTGTTACTTGTTTCTTTATCATGTGTTTTATGATCAAGTGCTTTTCCACCTGCGATTTGTAGATTAGGGAATAAACAGTCCCACATTTTCAATGAGTTGAGATAAATACAAAATGTTAATGTTCTAATAAAACATTTGAATTCAATAGCAACTTTTATGGTCAAAGAACTGATTAGACACTATTCACAATAGTGTTTTCTTAATGTGGTTTATTTTCAACTACAAAAAGTAATTGGATAATTTTAATGATTACATTTCTTTGTATCTGATACATAATTTAGAAATTTGAATCAAAAGCTCAAGGTATTTTTACTGTTGACATTTTATGGTGTTAGGTGGTCAGAGCTTATTTTTCCATTATGCTTTTTACAACTGCGATGATGTGATATGGTAGTTTGGCCACCGCCATAAAAGATACATCAACAAGTACTGAGCACATTAATGATTGTGTTGTATAATACAGGTAATGACCAAATTCCCATAATGTAATATTTATGACTTTATTATATTAACTTAATTTTACTGCATATGCACACAGGGCTGTTCTTGTTTTGTTGCTTATATATCTTATATATATTTTCAACTTGTCAAAGTTTTTAGGCCAAGATTTTTTGTCTTTAACCTTTTTAAACAGAAGATGTTTTGTGAATGTTACACATAAAAAAACAAAAGACACATGATGGTTCAACAAATTCAAACTTTCCAGAGAAGAGAAATCGTTCAGTGATTCAGTATTTCAGGTGTATTATGTATGTAGTAAATATGGAGGCTAAAGTACATCCGTATACAGACTGTCGGTTGTAAAAAAGACACATCCACATACTCATAAAAACATTATATTCACAGGATAACTGAAACATTGGCTCATTTAGCTTTAATCTTAAAGCAAATAGATTATATGTAGCCTTAAATGTGAAAACCGCGGAGAGGTGTGTCTCACACACTTCTCCACTTTACAGGGGAGAGATGGGCCTCTAGTGGTGCAACGCTGAAACAGCAAGTCAATTTGCTGAAGCCCTTGAAAAGTTATCTTGAGTCCTGGTCAAAGAAGTATGCACCCACTTTTTCTCTTTCTACAAACACTGATAAACTAATCAGGCAATTGTCCTATTTGCAGTGACATCAGTATAAAAACAAGTCCAAACATTCAACCCTGGACTGGCCTTTGCTTTATGAAAAAATTGCAGGTCAGTGTCTGTGTTTATCTTCTAAGAAAACCAGAAACCCTGGACAGAGGTTATGGTGTTTAGAGAGGACATTCCACTGAGGAGTGCAGGCACACAAGCTCTGGTAACCACAGGCGTGTGCATGCAATCAAGCTTCTCCACGGGTCTCCCTCACATGCAGTATCCCATGTATTCACACCTACCTACACACGCACACATAAACACGGTTTGGTACATTGATCCATCACAGGGTATCTCTGCTCCCTGCAGCGCTCCTGATCTCTTGCTGACTCACTCGGTGCGGCCAGCTTAGGGGTTTTCCACAGCAATGAGAGAAGTTGCAACACAATTGGGCCTTTATCCCTGACCTGCACTGAGCTCCACAGCCGCACACAGCTCGTACACTGGCTCTTATATTCTTGTCTTGACTCACACACAGGCCTGAATGAACAATATATGCTACTCCTCACTAAGGAGTGTCTGCTGATCCACAGCCGTTGCTGTATTATATGCTGGGTGTAAACATAAGCTCCTGTAGGTGTATGAGAGGATGGATGTTGGAGCACATGTGCCTCAGGCTCACAGAGCTTCTCATTAGTCCTGTCCACTGTGTGTGTCTGAGTGTGTGTATTTTCCAGAGGCTATAACAGCAAGGTTACGCCACAACTGGAAACAGATGAGCTTAGCAATTAATGGTCTGAAACTAAAATAAACTGCAGCTGTTTTGCTCTAACAGACGTGATACACTCCGCTGTATAGAACTAAAGCAGTCAACAAAAAATACAGACTCAAGTAAAATATCAGCTCTTTGGGATAACTGCAAAGATTTATTTATCTTCTTGTTTTTTTTACATGTAATACTGTGCATGGTTTTTGCAAATATATAGAATACAATGTGCAACAAATATGAGCTAGAATCTTCATGTTCAACTTTAGAAAAACATGTAGAATCTGTTTAGTCTCTATCAAAACCTTTCAAAGCCAAAGTGTTTCCATTGAAAGTAAGACTGAAGAAACAAAGTGGCTCCTGCTTCGGCAGAAATTACTGCGGGAATATGGCCAAAAGATAGAACACATGTTTGAGACGTCAAGGCACAGGTGTACACAGTGTCCCGGCTCCTCGGTTTCTGTCCAGATACCGCCGTCTTTTTCCTTTCCTAATGCGGCGATCGCCACATTGACCTCAAGCAACTGGGTCGCAACAGAAAAAAACACATCCATGCTGACAGTATTTCGGATTCCTATGCTTGGTTTGAGTGTGAGTAAGCTCTTTGGAATACAAGAAGAGTATCTGCAACTCTTGTTCCATAAATCCATATTCACTGATGGTCACTATGTATGTCCCATCATGCCTTGCACCACAGAATCACACCGATGGATCTGGCATCTTCCACCCTTCTCCGCTCGGACTGGTCCACACCCAGGAGAACAGAAAGGCTGGACAAAGAGAAGCAGATTTTTGAAATATTAATGTTGTTAAAATATGGGCTGATGACATCCTACAAAGTGCATTTGTTGTGAGTTATATCACGCTGTTACCATGGCCACCGAGTTAATTTGGGCACTTGACTACTGCAGCTCTCTTAAGGAAGCATCGCTGTGGATTCCTGGACGGTGAGCTCATAGTTCAGACTTACACGCGCCGTTCATGAACATTTGAGATTTCACTGACCAGTTTCAACAAATAACACTGTTGTCATGTGATGCCACTGACGTCATCCCGAATATTGAAAAGCTAAAAACAAATATATGAGGCAGTCTTATCAGTTCAGAATCATATATCTACATGCCAGTTACATACGTAGATGTAGCCTTTAGTAGTGTGTGTGAGTGTGTGTGAGTGTGTGTGTGTGTGTGTGTGTGTGTGTGTGCTGTTTAAAAATACTTGGCTGCCTGGTGAGGGAGAGGCCGGCAGATGTTATTTTGGAGGCTCACATTGCATCGTAATTATGTCCTCAAGTTAGAGGGAGTTTGCGTCTTAAGAACACTGTGGTGCATTTATGGCAAATGACCATAGTACTGGGAACACTGACATGACTTTGACCCAACAGTCGAACATGTAAACACTCAAGTGCCGTCTGAAAATAACCTTTAGCATTGAAACCTGAGCTCTCTGGGTCATGTGCCACCCTGGAGACTGGATGTTTTCACTCCATCCAATCACCGCTCTGGCTTGGTTCAGCGTTTAGCACCCCTCCAACCACAAAGTGGGCAGATTACCACTGCTGCACTCTGGGGTTCTGATGTCTTGGTTGAGACTTGAAAAAAAGGTGTTGAGGAGTGATGTGTGTCATGTGCTTAACTGTCAGGGAGTTGGTACTGAGATATCCCAGCAGGGGGAGTGTGATACACTGCCTTGTGGAACTGTTGGGGTTCTCTATCATTGAGTAAAGTCTCAGTCTAACGTGTCTTCATAAATAGATGTGTTTACCTCACAGCTCCTCGTCCTCCCCGGTGCTGCCCAGGTGAGCCGTGGACAGGTGTCGGTTCCTGCCGGTCTGCACCGCCTCCAGGTTCTTGTGGCGCACCAGTGCCAGCGCGATCTCCGCGTTCCACGCCGTGCCGTCCTGCGGACACCGAAAGTCGATCTCCTTCCCTGTGGCCATGACCACGGTGAAGTACACCAGCCCGCGCTTGTACTCCACGCAGTCCACCGTGACCATGCGCTCGAAGCGGAGCTCCTTGGCTTTCGAGTCCGGAGCGTCGTCGCTGCCGCCCTTGCAGCTGTGCAGGCGCAGTCCGTCCTCGGTGAGCACGCAGCGCTTCTTCTTCCACAGCTGGAGGAGCCCGCTGCTGCGCTTCTCCAGCTGCCCGTCCCTCATCACTTTGGCCGGGAGAGACATGGCCACGCCGGGGAGCCAAGTCTCAGAGGGTCAGCAGTGGTGCGCGTCAGGATGAATCAGTTAAACATACATCCCTCATATGATCAGTGATGTGTGTCCCTCAGGGAGAAAGAACAACATGGATGTGGCTGTGGAAATGGCAGCAGCAGCCTGCTCTCATGTAGTCTGTGTGAATAATCCAATCCGAGCCAATGACAGGGAACCGTGGAGCCTGGCAGGCTGGTCCGCCTGGATATGTTTGAACATGCCCGGCTCCTCTGGCGACCTTCTCCCCCTCTACTGGAGCTCACTACCGCCCCCTCCCGGTGACGGCACGGCGAGATCCGGGCTGACACTCCCCTGTGTGTGTGTCTGAGTGTGTGTGTGTGTGTGTGTGTGTGTGTGTCAGAGTCATTTAATAAATTATATAGACAGTGGGAATTTAAAGCAGAAATACAGGTCTTCTGCCAAAATGTCTTCACAAATATAATACAAGAACAAATACACACACACGCACACACACTTCAGAGCACATTACATTACCTTACATTTTGTTTACTTACTTAACACTAACCTTAACCTAAATCCCAAAACAGGTCTTCATCCTAAAATTCACATAGGGACTTGATTTTGACCACCTAACCACAATTCCCTTCTTGCCTCAGAAATGAAGTTATGCACCATCAAAACAGTTCTTTGCTCTCTAATGTTCCTGAGAAGGTCAGTGTTGACTGGAAAAAGATCTTAAAATCTATGAGCTAAAATAAATAATTGGGTTGGATTGTTTGTGTCAAGTTGTATTCTGCTGTTTCTTTCTCAGAGCTGGGAGGTGAGTGGGAGGCTGGTAGTGGATAGTGAAGTCAGATGTTATTGTGTTTGAGTGTGTGAGGGAGAAACAAAGTGCAGGGAAGAAATATTTTTGTTGGGCCAGGCAGAAGCTCGATGACTAATCAGTTAGTTCTTACTGTTATGTGTGGAAACAATTTAATTTGTTCAGTCAATGAGGACAGAAATCCTATATATATATATATATATATATATATATATATATATATATATATATATATACAGACCTATACACCCTGAAATAATGGTGGACATGTCTGAAACTAATTGGAAGAAAGGTTAAAGTCAAATTAAGGGGAGAAACTGGTTACTTCTTAGTAACTCACTTCCAAACACTCTGGAATTTGCCACACTGTGTGAATGGAAATCTAAATGATGGCATTTAAAGTCTCTTTGAAGTCACCCTTGAATGTGAAGAATAGCATCCTCACACATCACAATTCACATCTGCGCTAATGTGGAAGATGAGCTCAGTGGGTGGAGTGAAACTGCAAGGTGCTGGACGCACCTATGATGTGATGTGTCACAGTGATGTGAGGCATGGAAACAATGAGCATGTGCCATTTCTTCAAACTTCATCACACAACCCTCACCTGCCAAAGTAATTTACCCCACTGCTCCTCACATCGAACAGGAACACATTTCATAATTTTTATAAATTGTCTGTGAAAGAGATTTAATTTGCAGAGAGGAAAACAGTCCCACAATAAGAAGATACCATTCACTTGCAGAAAGTACAAATCACCAATTCAATTTCATCAGATATGAAACTCAGAATTAAATGTGGTGTCAACAGCACAAATGATCACTATCTTTAAATGTGACTCCAGTGGTGTTACATTTTCTTCTGTAGGTTTATTATGCAGCCTTTAAATAAATCATGTGTTAGTCAGGTGCATGTAGACTGGCAGTAGTCTGCTCCCTGCAGGAAGAAGGCAGTAGTATAGTTCTCTGGAAATCAGTCAGGCTGGAGGAGATCCTAGTGGCCTCTACTTAGTGAGCGTCAATGCCCCGGCGCCTGCTCCGTACCCATATCCCTTGGGACCAAATTCTTTGCCATAGCACCCTGGAGGACATAGAGGTATCATGAAATAATAAGAATAAAAAACTAAAGACTTTACGCTTTAATATCTTTATAAAAATCAGTTATTGTCTTGCACATTTTTCAGCATATTATGATGAAATTAGTTTTGGTTTGCTGGAAACACAACAACAACAACACCAGGTCTAGATTAAATACTGACGCACTTTGATTAAAATCAAAGTAAAGTAAAGAAAAGAAAAGGGCCCCAAAGGACATATCTGAAAGCAGACACCCCCCAATCTAAATACATACAACAACAATCACTAATCACTGACTGAGTGTTAACATGTGATGAAGACGAAAAATCTAATTTTGTGTGCAGTTAGATACAAAGTCACAAGTTGATGCAAATTCGAACAAACTGAGGCAAAGATGTGACCACAGGAAAACACAACCCACACATATGGTCTGTGCATTTGCATCCTTGTTTGTGTGCAGGAGGATTGACTCATTTGATCCATTGTCAATATGTAAATATTGATTGGTGGAGCTTTATATAGTTTAACTGACTAATATCAACAAAGCTAAAGAGAGACCCCTGGTGGCTATGAGGCCCTCTGGCAGCTGCTTAGCTTATCCATGCTCCAGGTTCAGCTCTACTAGTCCAGGTCTGACTAGTTTTACTGATAAAGCACATTTCATACACAGATGTGGATTCAAGCTTCTGTACCAGGACATAAGAAAAACAACCCTGAGACAGAATTTAAAGAAATCAATTTAAATCAGAAAGCAGGGATCAAAACAATTAACAAGCAAACTAATAGAGATCATAAAGTGTGAAAAAAGTGAGAGGGATACAAATATGTACAGAAATGAAAAGACAAATCTGAATAATATTATGGATACAAATACAGTAGATAGAAATGTGTAAAATAAGAAAATATATTGTAAAATGGTTAAGTGAAAGGCTTCTGTGAATAGAAACTTTTCAATCTGGTTTTAGAGATGGTAAATACTTAAACCCATCTTCTCCTTCTCTCTAAACTGGCCCCACATTTGTGTTCTTAGGTTTTGATTGCTAGACTCAAGGGGATCTATTTTATTCACCTAAGATCATGATCTGCAGTGAATGGCACACATCCAAATCTACGTTTACTAATTCAACGAGCGAAAAAAAAAAGCTTTCCAACTTCTTGAACTTTGTCACTTTAAATGTCATGGTTGTGTTTTGGGGCGTAAACCAACCAAACAAGTGCCAGCTCACCTTGGCGGATTGATATGAAAGTACTGTGGGGTGGGGTGGGGTTGCCACGCGGTGACGCTTCTGTGCGCAGGTGACGTTTCCACTTTACGCACCTGCAGGGCTGCAGCTGATTGGCTGTCAACGATCCTCCTCAACATGGCCGCCGGAGTTTGACTGCAGGAGTCGAGTGTAAAGTCTTGAAAGAGTCGTGAGTTGTAAAGATACTAAAAAGCCCAAAGAGGGTCTGTGAATGATCTGCAGATGTCAGGGTGTGGGGGGGTTCTGCAGTGAGGGAAGTATGGAAGATTGGACTGAGATGAAATCACGTTGTAATAGGAAAGCAAAAGGGAAAAGAGTTCTGAGTCAAGATAGTGGTCCCGGTGACAGCAATGGAAATGGACGAAGATGGTTTGAAGATAAGAATTAAGGTATCCCGTCATGTACAGGGTAACAGCGGACAGATTGAAGGCAGAGGTTCTTAGTGTGGGCGTCTTCTGATTACATGTGAAAGTGGGGAGCAGAGAGATAAGGGTCTAAAGCTAAAGGGCTAAGAAGGAAGTCAGCACAGGGAAATAATTGGAGAATAGACCCACCATACAGGGAGTGATATATGGAGTTACTATTGATGAGGACTTGTAAAAGTTTAAGGATAATGTCAGAGGAGGGAAGATATCAAAGCAGAGACATTAAAAAACTGGAGACAGGATAGTTTGTCTGTGATGCTTGAGTTCAAAGATGAGACTCTTCCCAAGTCAATGTCAATTAGATAAATGAGTGAGATTAAACGTTCCCCCGCCTGGGAGATGTTATTAATGTCAGAAATATGGTCTCATTGCAGCTTATTGCAATGGGAAGCAGACATGTGGGAGATGTGGAGGTGAGCATGAATAAGGCAAGTGTGGTCCGGGAGCAAATGTTCAAATTGTGGTTGAGCACAGTGTTGCCTACAAAGAATGTGAAGCGAGGAGAAAACTTGACAAACAGTTGCAGAGGGAAGGAAGACAACAGGCATTGTATGTTATGTATAGTGTGTATGTAAAGTTTTCTATGACTCCATTGTTTGGAGAACTGAGACATGGGGTATAGGAAAAGGAGGGAGGAGTCAGTTCTTACAAAGATGACAATAGGACATTTTTTATTAATGAAATACTAATCTGAAAGCCATTAGAGTAATCATTCTAGACCAAAGGGTGGTGGTCATGCACTGATTTAATCTGCTACTGCCGTATAAAGACAGAGGAAGAGGAAGAAGAATGTTACAACTGCAACTTGCACAATCACAAGACTGGACCGGTGAGTAGAAGTGACTGAAATGAAGGGTCAGTACAAAGCATGGATGTGTGAGGTTGAAACAAAACCAACTGCAAGATGATGTGTGTGTACGTGTGTGTGTGTACGTGTGTCTGTGTGTATGTGTGTGTGTGTATGTGTGTCTAAATTGCAGAAGCACAGCCTGTTTGACACCAACAGTCAGGCCACAGTCGAAATCACTGACATCACACTTAACTCATGTTTGATGTCAACATGATCTGAAGCTCCTGACCTTCATCCACATGATTTTATACACAGCACTTCTGCTCCATGATTGTTGTGCTCGTGTTCATAATGAAGTGCTCTCTGGCTGTACACTTTTAAACTCTATACTGCCGAAGCCATTTACATTTTACATTTACATTTACATTTAGTCATTTAGCAGACGCTTTTGTCCAAAGCGACGTACAAGGGAGAGAACAATCAAGCTGAGAGCATTAAAAACCTGGTGTAACAATAAAATACTGCTTATAAAACGACATAGAAAGAATAAAAAAGGCCCTCATGAGATACAAGTCACCATCACATACAACATGTCTTTAGAGCTGCCGATACTAATTCTGAATGCAACTGATTATTTTCTTTGACTGATCCAAACCTATCAACCTATCCCAGGATGCATTGAGCTTCAGTGATAAACCATTCTTCCAAGAGGTAATGGCGCCGACAAGCAATGAAATGTTTGATGTTTGCGTATCACGCTTAAAAAACCAAGGGGCGTGAAAACCTTTTTCTCATTTCCAACTTCAGCTCTGTTGTTAGGCAGAAGCTAAAAGAGTGCAACATGTTGGTGACGCCAATAACGGAAATCCTCTTTAGACCAGACAAGCTTAAAAGATGACAAATGGCTCCTTGAAATATTCCTAGTAATCATCATTAGGGTTATCCCTGTCTTGCTCTTAGTCTAAAAGCCTGCTGCGAAAGGATTTATTGTCTAACCAGCAATGTGATGTCCTTAATTTATGTATCAAGGTGAAACTGTTCACCAAAGTAGGCCTGGTATAAAATCTCATTCATTCACCGGTACATTTGCAGAAGGGTGAAAAACACTATAAAATGGTAAGTATTCAAAAAGAATCTTCATGAAAACTTTGAGGAAGGATTGTAAAAAACTGTGGACCTGTATTTAGTTATCCTTGACTGGAGTGCCATCTCATAAGGGTTTGATAATAACACCTTATATAGAAATCAATCTTTCTCTTTTTCTATCTGTCTCTCTCTATCTCTCTATATATCACTATAGAATATTTTTTACTCCCTCATATCCACATCAGTCCCTAGCAGCCCTTATCCTTTGGGCTCAAAAAATTCCCTTTCGTTGCCTCTTCATCTACAGTGTTATATTTATATATCAACAGTGCATTTCAGCTACTTGTTTTGGAAGACATATTTTATTACAGTTTAGAAGATTTGTATGGAACCACAGTTGCAGACTTTGCTCTTGTGTTGGTTGTGGCAGCCAGACATTAAACAGTCGGATGTGAATTAAACAGTCTGGTGCTTTTTCAGCACCAGACACTGTCTCTGTGACAATACCAAGTCTTGTTTGTGAGGTGAAGACGGTGATGTTTTACCTTTGCAGTAGATTTCTCCATCCTTGTCAGTTAACGTGGTCGACTCGAGGCTCTTTCCACACAAGGCGCAGCTGAAACAGCCAAGCTTATGCCACGACTGTTAATAAATAGAACATCTATTTCAAAAGGGGCAAGTTTTTGCGTGTGTGCATGTGTATGTGTTGCTTCTTACACTCCCAGCTGCAATCACTTTCTCATTGGCATAGACGGACTTGCCGCAGCGAGCGCACTTGTCTGCCCCTCCAAACCTCGGAGCCGGCTTGGATGGGTTTGGGTTGTTGGTAGAGCGAGGAGGAGCTGGTCTGATGGAGAATGAAATCAAAAATGTGGGTGACCACCCTTAATAATACAGAGTTACTGTGTGTGTGTGCGCGTGTGCTACTCACTCTTCCTGAGTTACACTTAACGCAAACGCTCCCCCATCCATGCTGAGGACCCCTGACCCCCCACCATAACCGTAGCCTTTTGGCCCAAACTTCCTGCCATGGCACGACTTGCAGTAGATTTCATCATCATGAGAAGCAACAGTTGTGCTGTCCAAGCATTTACGACAACTGCCTACACACACACACACACACACACACACACACACACACACAGAGACAGACAGACAGACAGACATCGTTACACATTGTTACACATCCATATATTTTGAATTAGCATATTTCTGCAGATGTTTTTGAGCACATTTGTGATTTTAAGTAGTATAGCATGTGAGAGTCAAATTCTATTATATTGCGTTCTACACTCATGTATACATGTTCCTCTAAGAATATATGAAGTTTGATAGTTTCCACATTGACAATCACAGCAAGCATCAAAGAGTTTTCTCACAGCATACGAAGCAGGACTTGTGGAATCTCCCCCCTTCACTGCGCACCTCCTCTGCGAAGTAAACCGTCCTTTTACAGCGGTCGCACTTGTCCCCTCCTCCGTATGACATCTTAAGTAATGTAATGAGTAATGTCTGCAACATAAATACAGAAGCACACACAATGATAAGTCAGATGTATGGAAAACATTTCAATTCAGTATTTTGTTCAGAGGCTGTTTATGTAGATGAGCACCTGAACTAAGAAGAGTTATTACACCAGGGTGGTTATGTTTTCATCAGCATTTGATTATTATTTTTTTTAGCAGGATTATGAAAAAAGTCTTAAATTTTGGGGCAGATTCAGTATTGATTTTTTTCACTTTAACATTGTGCAGTAGAATATTTTTCAAAACTTTCTCTGAGGTTTATGAGTGAAAAGTCTAGTAATCTTCATAAGGGGACTGTTTATCTATTTCATCTATGTTCAACAAGTAGAACCGATCTGATTTAGATGGTGACAAAAGTGAAAATCGAAAAAGAGGCTGCAGCTAAAATGATGCTAAAAAAGCACTTTGAGTGGTCAACAAGACTAGAAAAGTGCAATATAAATGCAGCCCATTTACCATTTCAAAGTATTTGTACATTCACCTTTACAGACTGGGTCTCTTGGTTTACTCAGCAGGAAACAACAGCTGCAGCTCTACCTGGTTCAGCTTTTTCTGTGGTCAGAAGGCGGAGCTGAGCTTTCAATTCAGATAAAGTGTTAAGGCCATTTCCTAACTCTCTTGGACAGTTCCTGTTTTTTATGATTTTCTTCTTGCGAGTTGGAGCATACAATTCGATCAGTGACTCAACCAAATCGCCTGTCTGACTTCTAAAGTAAATAAAACAACCGGAAATCTAACACAAAACCTCTCTGCTGCTGCCACCAGACTGCTGCTTGATGTGAATATGAGCTCATGCTTTGATATGAGCTCAGGGTGAAGTCACGAGTGGAGCGGTTTGTGTCTGGCTGATGCTGCTGCTGCACTGTGCCTTTGTCTCTGACTGTTTCTGGGTGTTATTCAAAGGCCAGACAGAGGCAACCAGAAATGCAGAATCCTCCAGATTATTTTCCTGGAATGGTGGGTGAATTTAATCCCAGGTGATTCATTCATTATAAACATAGGTGTGAAACTGTACAAAAAGAGCCATCTATTGTATCATGTATTGACTTATTTTGCGCCAGGCCAGAGATAATTCCTATCAACAGACGCCGATGGGCATTTTCAAAATACTGAATCTACAGACTGACAGCTTGTGTATTCTACAGTCCTAAAAACCAGACTGATTGCTGAGGATAAACGCTGAATGTCTGGATTGAACTTTAAGGTGGTAATCGAGTCATGATTTAAAGTTTTTGTTATTTTACAACAATGTTGGAGGCAAGACATTCGAATGAGGTGCAGATGAAGAAGGTAGAAGCTTGTTTAACATGAATATAACGTTTAATCTCAGGAAAAAACTGATAACCCGTCATCTCACTCTCACTGACATGACCACATAGGCAAATGCATATAAAGATGGTATGTAGAGAGCAGTGTGCTCACTTAACGGACTGATCTAAAAAGTTTTTGAGAAAGAGGAGGTTTACGATTGGCTTTTCACATAATCATATCTCTATTCTTGAGGATGTGTTCTGGACCATGTTCATGGTGGCTCTGCAAGTTTAGGCATGTGGAGATACAGACAACTTGTGCAGGAATGCTCAAATAAAACAGGGAAGGTAAGGAGTACAACCTTAGTATAAATCTGAAAAGTCTGCTCATGAAGTTTATGCAACATTTGAATGATCTTTTTCAGTTTCTACACTTTGTCGCCTAAACCAGAGAGCATAAAGATCTTAATGTATTGTATTAGCTTTTGCAAAATTAGTGTGATACCTCTTTAAACAGGACACATCATAGTTCTTCAAACAAAGATGTCTCCACTGGCCTGACTTGCACCATAGATAAATGTTTTTCACATCATGCATCGCCAGAAAGGTTAGAAAAGCAAACGAAAAACAGGAAATAATAATTGACATGACTTACGTGCTGCTCTGTCACTCAGTGATGATGGACAGGTTCGATTCCGTGAGCCGAGCAGTGTTAACGCAGCACCAGGGTGTGTTCAGGAAACAGCTTGTCAGAAGTTGGGGGAGGAGTTGCACTGTAGTCGGTAAGAGTGAAGGTGTCCAATAGTATGACTTTGTCCTTGTTATTCAAAAAGACTGTGCTGTGTACCTTTCCTTGTTGTTCGAGACGTTTTGAAAGGGTGGAGCTTCTGTTCTTGTTGCTCTACAAAATAGTGGGTGTTTTTTGGGTGTGTGTGCGTTTGAGAGTGCGTGTGAAACTTGCACTCAATTAATACCTTAGACCTACTAAGACTTGGAGCTAGAAAAAGTGAATAAGACAAATCATATAAAGAAAAATATAAAATAACACAGCCATATGTACACAGTAACCTTTTCTCCTTGGTAGCAGACTGAATTTAACATGGAAGTATGCATTAGAGCTGATGTTAGAGATGCAAGAAAGATTTACACTATGATGTAATTCTATAGACTCTGTTCAAGACCTGGTATTAACATCCATCCTGAGTGATCTGAACACGTGGATGGCTCTGTGCACAGGTGTGAACGCACCCAAGATGGACTGAGCACACATTAGCGATCTGATCAATCGCAGCAGATTAGTAGGTTTTCTTGGACGCTTCTCATATGAAAGACCTTCTCAGCTGATGTCCTCTGACCTGCTACAGGTTCATAATGGACTGAAAGTGCTTGTACTCTTTTCATTTCTCTATAGTCAGACTGGTTAAAAACAGCATTAGTTTGTGTTTGTGAACAGAAATGATATTTATGTAAATTTGATCCGCTCACAAGTCACAGGAGACACAGCTAAAATGCATTCTTGGATCTGTCACGACAGAAGTTAATATTAGGTTTGAAAAGCAACAGTTGGGTGACTTTGTTTTGAAGCAACCTGTCAAACCTGAAATTACCTGGTGATGATTAATACCTGCATCGTGCCACATCCAAACCTGGTATAAGGACTGTTACTAGGGAACTGTGAGGGACTAGATTAGTAATATACTGCAGATCAGATAAATGTTGTACAAAGTATTTATCTTGATCTTTAATGATCATCAGATTATTACCTCTGCCTATGAGGTTATGTTTTCATCACTGTTTGTTTGCTAGTTTGCAGTGTTTTGTTACAACTACTCAACAGATTTCCATAGAAAAAGCTACATTCAATGGCGGCACGCACAGAGACAGCGGCTCGGAACTCCCAGCCATTCAGCAGTTTATCTGTTTTTTTTTCTGTGTTTCCATCATACTCCATGTGTACATATGTACACAATATATGCACATATGTATATCTTTGTTTTGCTTTTTCGTTCTCTAATTTATATGCCTACAATTTTATTGCTGATTGCTGGGAGTCAATTTCATTGTATCCTGTACAATGACAAATAAAGCCTCCTACTCTTACTTACTATGGAATTGGTGTGTGGAATCAGCTCTCTTCAGTAAAGAGGATACAGTGTCAAAGTAATTCCAGCCTGTTGACTTTAAATGAACTTTAAGAGCCACTTGCATTTGCTTAATGTATGAGAAGGCGTTAATACATATTGACTCTGGAGCTGCTTTAGAATACAGAGAAACATCTGTGATAACATATATCTGCTGCCATCATGTGGTTATTATGGGTACATGGGTGTCTTTCTAGTATGATTTGCTTTCAAGGACTTCCAGTACTAATATTGAATTTTGGTATAAGTATGACTTTTAATCAAATATCAGCATTATTAATATAAAATACAATTGAAATAAATTCATTTCAGAAAAAAATCATTTTTTTAGAATGTTTCAAAACATTTACTGAAGACCATTGGGTTTGAGTTGGTTCGACAACATTTTAAAATATTAAGAATTTTTAGACCAAAAAATTATCAATTTATAATGACTAATAGTTGCAGCCCTGTAGCTAATCAATACCACCTCTAATGCATAAGTAAACAAGAAAGTCATAACCAACATAACTAATTTCTCTATAAATAAATAGACCTTGTATACCTTTAAATTGAAAATAAAGAGGTATGCTGACCACAAAATTTTTACGAAATGATGAGAAATAAAAGAAGTTTATATACAAATTTCAACAGTCACCCACAGTTTCCACACATTCACACACACGCATACTCATAAGAACATTATTTAAATTCAGGGACAGCCAAAACCACTGTAACTGGTGGATATGCACGCACACAGATCTTGATGAAAGGTTTGGTATGTTGTGTAATGCCTCGGCAGCCTCAGCTTCTCAAAACACGTGGAGGAGGTGGGAAGTGCAGCCTCCACCACTTCCACCTTCATCTCTGTGGTGGGCAACTCCCACCCTATCCAGAACTTTATGAGGCTCTTTAACTCAACTGGAGACGCTGCGTACAAAAAAAAAAAAAAGAAGCTGGTCAGACAACAAACAATCTGCTGAACCGACGTCGTTCTTCAGAGGTTCGAGAAATCACTGTTAAAACAGCCTAAGGTACCATTTTCGATAAATGTTTTCAAGTAGGCAGTAACTCGATCTACGTCCATGATGTCGGAGTCGTCACCCTCTTCTTCTCTGAAGCCCTCGAAAAAGACCGTCACATTCAAAGGCCATGTGATGCAATCCAAGATCATCTGAAATCACATGTAACTTTTTTAAAACTTTTTTTTAAAGTATATTTTTTGGGCTTTTATGCCTTTAATAGACAGGACAGCTGAAGAGAGACAGGAAGCATGGGAATGACATGCAGTATAGGGCCGTCTGATGCGGGATTCAAACCGGGGCCCACTGCAGCGAGGACTGTAGCCTCTACATCGGGTGCCGGCACAACCCACTACTTCAATTTGATGTTTAGGCAAAGCAAAAGTTTTAAGCCAAAAATAATGTTTAACTTAATTTTGTGTGGGTGTATTAGGAGATTTTCAGATTTTGTGACTGTCAGGTGAGCTGCACAAAATTTAAAAGAAACGTTTTAAAATCCGTATGTCACTTGGAGATTGAAAATAAAAAACAGAATCTCTTGGCTGAACTGTCAACATGTTGCATTGTGGGTAATGTATAATAGGATAAGTGGATTAAAAGAGACAATATCTCTGCATGAGTTTTGTTTAAAACAAAAATCCAGAAAACACTATTTGCATAAAGTTGTGTATACGGGATCAGTTTTAGTTTGCTCTTCAGTACCTGAGGAGTGAGCTGTGCCTCTGATTCTCTGGGAAACAGGATTGGGATTACGTCTCTTCTGTGAGTGAGAAGCGGCCACAGTCCGGTCTCTTTTAAACCTTTTCGCAACTGATTGATTTGAAGCCTTGTTTGTTCAATAACCTGCAGCAGAGGAGAAAAGGTAACACAACACAAAATAATTAACTGGCAAATCCTGTCTGCGGAAGATAATGAAGTGATGTGTTGATTCTCTGGTCTCTGCACATTTCTATAGGCAGCGATTAAATGTGTTCTCATGTAGCTCATTTAATGATGCCAAAAAGTAGCTGTATATAAATGAGTAAGTACTCATTACTATTGGCATATGTGAGTGGCAAATGCCCTTTGCATTGACTACTGGGTACTGTATAAATGACTATGAATGTCTGTCAGTAGAGAAGTGGCTCTGACCAATTCTAAAGAGAATTTGAAATTATGTTCTCTATAAGAGAGAAATGCTCTTTAGAATATTCTTGTGGCAGTGAAATAATTTGATCAAATGATGGAGCCTTCAGGGTGTTCAGCACGAGTGTGAGGAAATGAACATGGGTTAAGAAGCTAAAGCAGAGAAAATATAGAAATAACTTTTGACATTTACAGCATGAAAGAGAATCTTCTGAGACAGCCATTTCCTGTTGGTGGCATTTGGTGCTGGCAGGTTCCACGAGAGGCAGAGCTGATGGACGTGGTCAAGTTCTTTTAATTCAGTGTCTCCGTCAAGCTGGAATAAAACACAATTGGAAATGTGTTTATTCCATTACGAGGTCAAATTGAGTGCAATGGTGTGTTGCTAATGTGACACGTTAACCTCATTTAAACTCCCTTCTCACCATTTTGACTGCGTCGCGGATGTCGAGGTCAGGACAGTCTCGTATCATCACAGGAGTCGTCTCCAGCGAACCATCAAAGAGAGTGTGCATATTGGTTGGGCTGAGTCCTGGGAAACTTGGGCCGTCGTGCAAGAAGGAATGTCCGATCATCCGGCCGGCGATGGTGAACATGTCTCTGTCGAGCAGTTCATGTGTAACTGAGGGAATTAGGTGATCGCGCTCACCTTCGAAGAGTTTCGTGATGGCTGCATTTCCTGTAAAGTTGAATTAGGAGGTTAATGATTAAAGGATTCATTTTTTTAAATAATGTTTATTTCAATTCTGCAAATTAGCTACAATATAACAGAAGGTGATTAGTGCTGCAGGTAACAGTTCACCACAGATTAGTCTCTCAATGATTTTCTTGACTAATCAGTTAATCATGAGTTAATCAGTCGACCATAATTGATTGGTCTCTTCCTTCTATCCATTATCTGCACCCCTTATCCAGTAAGCGCTGAGGGGGAGTTTTAGCCAATCCCAGCTAAGATTCGACGAGAGGCAGGGCACCTCCTGGACAGGACGCCAACATACAGAGACAAATAACCATTCACACGTAAGAACATTCACACGTAAGAACAATTAAGAGTGTTTGATTTAACATACAATATGTAACTTGGGCTGCTTGGCATCTCTCAATCAAAACCATAACAAGATACCTAGTTTGATGGCATTGCGAAGCAGAGTGGGATCATGGGAGTTTTTGTCTTCGCCACCATTGCTGATAAAAATCTACCTGATGTGGCACAAGTAATGTTGACAGATGAGGTCATGCAGTGAAGTTGCATTCACATTACTTAGCAAACAGCAATGAGCTAACTGGCTAGCAGTGTGTTTTTCCCTCTTATGTTGTTTGGCCCGGAAGTTATATCAGGTCGGCTTATATAAAAGCTTATATGAAGCTAAATGAAACCTCCTGTTACCTTGAATGAAATTGGGGATCTCTCTGGATTCAAATATTGAGGATAATGGAAAGTACACAACTATGTAACATAGTTCAAGTTGTTTTCAGACATTTGAATGAAGACTTGTTACATATATCTTTAACCTAACCCCAACCTGCAGGTCTGTGAACCAGGAGGAAGCATGAGAAAACCCATGCGGACCTGGAGAGAACATGCAAACTTCACATAAAGACCCCTGAGCGGTCTCGCTGTTAGATGACTGTGCTAACCACTGCAGGGACTGGGATCCCTAACCTGGTATATTTGTTCCCTATTGTGTCAGTTACTGCTGTTGTTGTGAGTGCATGCTGTTGTTTCTTACCTAGGTTTATATGGAATCCTCCTATAAGCTTGCAGATCACTGTCGACATCATGTGACGGTTGACTCCACTTCCTGTCGCCACATCACCTGTGGACACATCCACATATTTTCTATTTTTAGCAAAAATTGCTTCTTTTAACCTGTGACGCTTATTTATCTCAAGAGTGACTTTACCTTGAAGTTTGCACTGAAGTGGCGATGCCCACTGGATGTTGTCTCTCTTGTAGAAAGCCACCAAATCTTGGTCTTGCTCCTGCTTGTCTTGTCTTATGTCCACACACAGAAATAGATCTTTTGAATCTTTGTTGTTGTGAAGAAGTTCTTGGCAAAATAGCCGCCCAGCATGTTTTGGGTCTGACACTGTTCTCCATTTAGAGACTGAACCAAAATAAGAGCAAAACATGAAAATTTGAAATATCCCAGACACAAAAATGGAAAAAGACAATTTTAGAAGATCTTAGATTTAAGGAGCATATCCTGCCTGTGGTCTTTCTTGAAATGTCCTCAGCTCCCTCCATATTTCTGTATGTATTGATCAGATCCATCTTAGAGAAAACAATGGATAAGGTACAGGACTGATAGTGAATGATGTGACAGTCCTGTGAGAGAACAAGTCTACAAACATGTCAAAATGCAGGGCTGTTTAAGAGGTGTTCTGCACTGCAGCTTGTCTTGACCCTTAGGCAAGAGGGAAAAAAGAGTCACTTCAACTCCTTAATTAAAGAAGCCTTTTGGAGCAGAGGTGAAAAGAACCTCAAACAAAGTCCAGCTGCCTTCATCTAGCACTAAGAAATGCTCCTTAACTTCTGAACAGTTTGGATTTGACTATCACCCAAACAATGCTGCTCTTCTGTGTACGGTACTTTGCTTTTGACTTTTTGGAAAAGGAAAGAATTTTGTTACTAAACATTGTTGTTAAATATATATACATACTGTTCCCCCTAAAGCTGTAAACTTTTAAAATGTATTTATTGAAATGAATACTCTTCAAATATTTAGAAATAAATAGACCTAGTTTAGTTTCCTGCAGATTATTCAGCAGAAAAATGTCTCTGTCAGAGTAATAGTAAGAATCGTCTTTATGATGTCAGTAGGAGGCAGTTTCACTATTCAGACTACATTAAGAAAGGGGTGTGGCTTTGAATGTTAAGCAGTCATCACCTGATTCAATAATCAATATATAATGAAGTTTTCCTTTTGGAGGACAAACTACTTGCTTAACATTTAGGTTTTTCTGTTCAGTCATAAATAAAGATACATGAGCAGGAGAATAACATGGAAAAACAAACAGCAGCTACAGTTTCTGTTGCTTACCTGTGAAGATCCGTGACGCTCTCCTCTCCACGTCCCCTGTGTTTGCTGTCAGCGCTGTTATTGGGGCTGGGTTGGAATTCAAGCTCCTAGTGATCTAAGCTGGTTTAACTTGTCGGTACAGGTATCGTAAAAGCAGGGCTCTAGACACTTTGCCTGAGGCTGTTACATTTTTTTTTAATGATTCTTTTTAAAGGACAGTCAACATTCCTTCTGCTTAGAGCTGGGCAGTATGGTTCAAGTCAATGTAGCAGAATATTCCTCCAGTATCCCCCCTTTTTTCTTTTTTTTTCTATCACAATTTATTTATTAATTATTTATAATTAAATTGAAATATCAATTAAATATCAATTTTTCCCTTGCGGGAAAGTTGTGGGTTTAGAGGATGAGATAATTGAGGTCAGCTGATCAAGGTTGAGAGAAGTTGTCTAAATGAATAACAGGATTCTCAGTTGTTTCTGATTATCTTTCAACCATGATTTGACCCCTCCATCATGGCCATACAGTGCCCTTGAATTGAATCAAGCTGCACCACATTGCACTTACTCATAGATATCAGTTCTCTACATGTGCCTGATTGTATTCATCAAGATCCATGATTTATTCCCATGTCCAATCTCAAGTGAAAGTGATGGCCCATCCATTTTAATAATTCTTTCATCGGGATCAATTGAGCAGATTTTGTGTAATCCTGCTTTCAGACAAACAAACAAACAAACAATCAATCCACCCACCCAGCAAACAGACAGACAGACAAGGGTGAAAACAAACATCCTTGGTGGCAGTGGTAAAAATGCCAATAAGGACCTAAACCATGGACTTGAAAATTAGCATGAAGTTGAAGTTAATGTGTTGATCCAACATCCATTTTGAAATGGTTCATCGCGTCCTTTTATTTTCAGCAAGCATCTCTGTTCATGTTTGCATCAACTGTTTTTTATGGGCTTATCTCTTATCCCTATCCATAATGGAGGTATACATGGAGTCACACAAAGGGCATTAACAACATTGACCTTGATTTGTGTGCTTGTCAAATGCTTTTGTGAAGTTTTGCAGCAGAAGAAAATTGCTAAATATTCTGTGTAAATTTGATAGGACACACATTTTTACAAGTTTTGTACACCAAATTCAAGCCTGAGCTGACCAACCAATCAGCACATTTCCTGCTCATCATCCAGTCACATGAACGTCTTCATGCAAATTCAAGCCTGCGATTTAGTTTCCCTTAAGCTTGTTCAGGAGCCAGAAATCCCACGGCAATTTATTCTGAAATTGCATTTTCTACTTGGATACGAACAGCGAACTGGTGACTTCCTCTCAGCTGAATCAGCCTCTTGTGAATCACTACTTCTTCTTGTGTTTGTGTGTTTGTTTTCCCATCGCAACAACGCTACACATCTGAGGTCCCGTGTTCCAGACGGGCAACATGTACCCCTCCCTCTGCCCCCTTCACCCCTGCCCCAGATGCCCCATGGGATGACTGTAACACAAGTGTCCCATTGTCACAACAGCGCTCGTCAGGGTCTGTGTCTCATGGGGGTGGACAGGCCTTAGGGGGACATCAGAAGATTAGTTATGACATCAACCCCCTCCCCACACAACACACACGCTGCAGCCGCTTGCACGCTCCTACCCATAATCCATCTGTTACGAGTCACTTCCCGTTTCATTGAGCCACTGAGTCAAAGCAACAGATCATCTCAGTGTGTTTTTGTGTTCGTATTTGACTTCGGATTGTTAGTCCTGCTTTGGTATCACACATTTAAATCCAAAACTACTGGGAGCTGGAATAACTGGAGCGAGACTGTGGCATCGGTGTGAGTATTTGGGAATATTAATAAAGTGAGTATGGGCAATTGTACTGTTTGTTCGTGTAAGTGGGGGGGAAGAGAGTGGGGGCGTACACCATGTGTCCTTTATATGTGGGGGGAAGTCTTATGCTCTCTGGGTAATGTACTGTGTACTAATAGCATTTATCAATTCATCATGGCTGGCTGATCAGCTGATGTATTTATTTACATTTAACTGGACATTCTTTCCATTATTTATGATTCTCTCATGCAGACAAAGTCAAGTGCTAGCGCGGCCAGTCGAGGCCTGATCAATACGTGATCAGCCAGAGAGCTCTGAGGCTGCACTTAACCACAAGATCAAATCTGCGAGGAGCCTCTGACACTCACAGTAAGAGAAACACACGTCCTGATTGTCAGTAATAACCTTATAAACAAGAATTAAAGGTGCTGATTGTATGTCTTAATCATGGGATAAAACAGACATATTATTGTGGTTTATGCACTGTTGTCTTCATTAAATATTCAGCAGCCACTGTCCCTGATGTCAGTGTGTCAAACTGTAAGCAAGCTCAGCTGAAATATGAGAAGAGAAACCTGACAGGGAAATGGAGAAAGAAGAAGATTCAGAGAAAAACAAGAGGTTGTTAAGTTTAGTTTTTTTTATTCTTTTTGTTAGGTTTTTTATGCATAACACAGACATCTTAAAATAGGGATACATGTATTCTGGGACGAATACACAAATACAGGGGCACACAAATACAAAATAGTAATATCTTCTTTGTAAAAGTCAAATGATAGTTAAAATGAATAACTTGATTAGCTTTTATTTTCTCTTTCTTTCAGTCCCTGCACTGAGTCTCATGCTGTTTCACTCAAACAGTTTCCTCTATTCGCACACGTGAACCAATGAGATATTTTTACTGTCTGTGGTATGTGAAGACAGACAGGTAATCTGTAGGAGCTGGGTTCAAGGTCAGATGTGGGCTGTATAGTGTTACCCCATATATCAGCTGGTAAAAGATGTCAGCGGTGGGTTTATTTTGCACAAGATGATTTCTCCTTTATTTCCCTCCCTCGCTCCACCTCTTCCCTTTCCATTAGAGGTGCGGGACAAATTAGAGGAGTGATGGATGAGCTGCTCCTCCTTCATGGTGCTTCTTCCCGCAGGCACAGTGTTTAGGCACGTCTTCATTTGTCGTCAGTTTATCTATCATCAGCATATCTTTTTTTTATTTCATCCTGCTTTCTCTGACCACCAATTAGACCTTGAAAGCTGATGGTGGGTTTGGGCTTTTCACATTTGTGGCTGCATCTTCTTAATTACCATGTATTACTCAAACTAAACATGCAGCCAAGCACAAGTTCACACACACATGTACATCTCTCTATAGTTGTGAGGACACTCATTGCCATAATGCATTCCCTAGCCCCTTAGCCTAAACTTATCTATTATAGCTAAATGCCTAAGCCTAACGTAAACCTAATTCTAACCCTAACCCTAACACCAAGTCTTAATCCTCAAACAAGCCTTTGAAATTTTGAGGACCAGCCAAAATGTACTCACATCAAAATGTCTGCACAAAAATTGGCCCTCATAACTATACATAGACACACACACACATACAAACCACACTCATCCAGCTAATGGACCAGCCTGTCTCTGCTTTAGCTGGGCTTGTATTTCACCTCAGAGAGGGAGGGAGTTCAGCCAATAGATCCATTACAGAGAGAGAGAAACAGAGAGAGAGAGAGAGAGGGGGGATAGAGACTGTGATGAGGGGAGGAAAAGGGGGACGAGCGGGGCGGGGATACGGATGCAGGCGTACTGCGGCAGCAGCAGAGCGGCATGACGTGATAGAGGAGCGGAATGACAGACACACACACACACAAATGCACATGCTCGCAGCTCAGGGGGTCTGCCAGGCAAAAGTAGACAGAGGCGAGAAGCACTCAGCAGCATACAGATAGAGACAAACTCACTTGATGCTTTGCATCCTGATGCACGCAGAGGGTGAGTACAGCCTTGTGCTTATTTTACAGTTAGTGTGTCATATTTGTCTTCAGGCATGTGTTGACTTGACTTTTGCTGCGTATTTGTGAGAATTTGTGTCCTCTCCATCTGTGATTCATTGAACAAATGAATGAAAACCCTGCATCTCGATCTGTGAACATGTTGACAGTTGTGTCACAGTCAGCAGCCAAACGGAGAGATGGCAGCAGAGGGAAAGAGAGAGGCAAAGGGACTGAAAGGCAGAGCTTAAGTGGGATGAAAAGAGGTGGAGAGGGGATGGGAGAGGTGGGGGTATCCTATAACCAGGGGTGACATGATGTGATCAGCCTGAGTCAGCAGAGGGGCTGTATGACTCATGCAACATACACACTGTGCATCTAAAATCAATGTGTAGAGAGTGATGTAGAGCAGTGAATCAGAGAGGAGGGAAACTGTGCACACGTTTATACTGTTGGTTGTCTGGTTGTACTCTGTCCTGTTTAGTTTGTGGGTGCTTGTGTTTGTATCAGTATACTCACTCCTGTAATGAGCACATCTGGAATGTGTGTGTGTTTGTGTGTGTGTGTGTTAGATATGCATCATTTTCCTAGTTTGTGAGTGATTCGCTGGATGCACTGAAAACCTTGTGACTAGCAGTCTGGTTTATTTTTTTCTACTTCAGTTAAAGTAGAGAAACCTCTTCAGTGAATTAACAGTTTCATAGCCCATTGTGTGACATGACAACAAGGAGTTTACGACACTACTACTTTTTTAGGATGACAGAATATGTGTCACTGTGAGGTCACTGTAAATTTCCATCTGGGTCACTTGACTCATAGTAACATCAGCCGTGTTTGAGCGTGCGTTTTTCTGAGGTTTTTCATTGAAATTGACATCGAAAGTGAGTCACTTTAGTACGAGGCCCGCTGATTGGGTGGAAATGTCATTCCTGTTTGTAACAGCTTCCTGTCCTGGTGAATGGTGAAGCGGTGCGGACCAATGGGAGGGCAGCGGTGAGGATGCAACAGTGATCCAGGAAAAAGCAGCCCATTGTTCCTGGGACGTCGGAGAAGTGTGACCTCCCTCCCTCCTGCCGGCTCTGCCCGCTCAACCCATCCGCTCACTGAAGGACTCACGACCCCAGTGACAGGTTAGATATTGACGATATATTATATTGATGATCTGACACATCTGACATTTCATCGTTAGCAGCTTTTATAAGCTTCAGAAGCTGTTAACTTTTATGCTGCTGTGTTTTCTAACATGTTTTTCCAGAGTGTTTTGGTACCACTCAGTGTCACATGAATACTGTAACACGATGTATGACACACATTATTGCTCGTGTTTATGCTGTTGCCATTTCAGATGTAATTACATTCACTTATTATCAACTTTCCAAACTGGGACACAAACACATGCACTGCTGATGTCCCTCAGTTTACACAGAGAGGTCTGTGCTGCCACCTCAGTTATTGATTCTGTGATGAGTCAGAGAGTGTTCATCACAAGGCTCACCCTTGTGTGTGTGTTTGTGTGTGTGTTAGAGAGAGAGAGAGAGAGGTTTTGATGTTTATTTGATCAGAAAAATCTCAGAAAAGCTGAAGTATTAAACTGTGATTAGGAAGTTATCGTCCACTGCCAGCTGCCACGCTGCCCTTCATTTTTCTCTCCTTGAAAGAATTACACACCTAAATTCTTTGTTGTCTATGACTGAAGTTAAAAAACATTTTAACAACTCAGTAAGCTCAGCTCCTGAATGTTTGGAGAGAGGTGGAAAATGAAAAAGGATAGTATGAGATGTAGAGAAATCAGTGTCCATTCTGGTGTAGTTTCCTCCATTATCCAGGAGATGTCAGTACAAAGCTTATAGAGTGAAGGGACTGGTCAAACAAAGTGTTAAGAGTTATCATTTTTATTATACTCAGCTGCAAGAAAAAACAGTAAATCATTATTCATTTTAAGTGTATTATTGGGAATTAAATTTTATTGTTTGTGTTTTTTGTGGCCTGATTCTTTTTTTTTTTTATCATTAGTTAAATACCTAATTAAGGTATTTTTCTAATGTCACAGAAGCATGTCATGTTTTTCAGCCTAAATGTTCTTAGTCATTTTATGGAGTCAATTTTACTGTACAACATTTCTAATAATTGATTCATTGACAAAAAAAATAACGGAGAGTTTCTAGTTTAACACTGTTGCTTCTCTCTGGTATAACTCACTGTGAATTCAATTCCTCTGGAGTTTGGATTGTTTATCAGGCAAAATAAAAAGCTATTTTAAAAAGTCACCTAGTTTTTGTAACTGTGATTGGCATGTTTTTCAATTTCATGACATTTTAAGAACTATTATTGTTAATGATTTATCAATACATCAAGACAAAAACGACATGATACAAAAATAATCATTTATTATTTTTCCTCAGTACTTGGCTAATTGAATTTAAAGGGGCTATTTTGCCATGGCGGAGATATGCGCTCCATTGAGTGCCATTCTAATTTTAAATGTGCTTTTTAACTGAGCTAGACTAAATGATCCTGTACATTTTTAGACTCCACAAATAACCAAACTCTCTCAACTAATTCCTTCAGCCTGACAAGAATCTAGACGTAAAGTGAAAGCATTAAGCCAACAATATAACCACTGTAGAGTCACTTACATAACAGAAGGATACAGAATGATCTTGAATATAACACATATATACAGTGAACACATGACACAGAGAATATACTACTTTGTGTGGAACAGGCTTGTAATGCAGGGAAACATCACGTTATCAGTGAGGGATTTGATTTGCAATTTTTTTCCAAGTTCCAGCTGCTGGGTTCAGTCAGCAGAAATGTCTTGTCTCTTTCTCTCTGGTTTCTCTCTTCATCTCTACACACACACACACAAACACACTAACATCCATCCCCTCCACCAGCTGAGCCTCTGTATGTCCGTACGTGGGCTGCAGTAGTACCAGTATGACCCCTGCGTGTCCCCCGGGGGAATAGCCAATTTCCATACAGATAGACACATAGCCAGACTGCACCTGTGCTCCTGGAAGCCCTTTACAGGAATTATATCAGACAGACAGAAATTCTGATGCTTATTAGTGACTCGACCTCCCAAGAGAACGAACAAGACTAAAGGAGACGGAGAGAAATGGAGGAGGGGGGAGGTAACGGGAATTATGAGGAAGAAGAATTTAGAGAGCGAAATGAGGATGGATGATCACATCTGTCTCTGTTTACCTTCTGCTGCATCACCACTGCTGTATGCTGCTGCTGCACATTAGCATTGACTCAGATATGATAGAGCACCAGACCTTGGCAAAACACCAGCTCTCCATTTTCTGTGTCAGTGTGTCTCATATTGTAAAAACGTGAGAGGAAGGAAACTACAGACACACTTTGCTTTGTAAGAACAGAAACATTATTTTTGGGAATGTTTAGAGTTGTTGGGCTGCAGGAGTTGGCCTCTTTCCACTGCAGGGATTCTGTTTGTGGAAAAATTTGTGTGTCTGTGTCCTCTACATCACACTGAGGGCAATGCTGTGATTAGATGCACAGTCAAATAATCCATTATGTCATCCATGTGACTTTGACGGCTTAGTTTGCTACATCTCTGCTTTACTAAAGGCAGCTTCCCAAGAAGTCGAGAAGTCTTTGGCGGCAAAGTTTCTGCTTTTTAAGATGTGCCAAGTAGGGCTAACCGTTAAATCTGTGTATTTGTGAGTGTGTATACTTGTAATACTCAAATCTACTTACAGTATACTGGACTGTTCCAAAGCAAATACGAGAAGTAGAAATTAAAAAGGAAAAATGTAGAATATATATTTCGAGGCATGTATTTACTTTAATTATGTATGAAAATGAGAGAGGAGCAGCTGTTGACTGCACATCTGGGTGGCTAGAGCAACATGATCTGTTCACGATGTTTAGTGACACAGTCATAAAAGTGTAGGTAAAGTATTTTTCACTATAAAACCTTTAGAGGGTCTTTAACAGAACTATGAGGAACATTTTATAATCAGATCTTTTCTCAGACTGGAGATCAATATTGTTCATGTCCACAAGACTGAAATAAGATTTATTTTGTTGACTTGCATACTCACATTATTAAAAATGTTTCCAACAAATCCAGAGAATGGTTTTATTTAAGGAAACAGGATGTTTCATTTTGGTCGCCTTTTAATTGCATCATATCCACTTTATCTGTGGCTTTGCCCGTCTCTGCTGTAACTTCCGGGGTAAACAATGATGAAGGAAAAACACATCGCCAGCTAGTTAGATAGTCTGATGTTTTTTCCATTCACTGTTTTGGTCACGTGAATAAAAGTTTAAAACATTACCTCATCTGTAAAAATGATTTGTGCCTGAGATAAATGTTCATCTCCAGTGGTGGTGAAGACAACTCCCATGATCCCACACTTCTTCACAATGTCATCAAGCTATGCCTTTTGTTTTGTTTTGATTGAGATAACCCTAGCGGCAGAAGATACTTATTGTAAGTCTAATACTTCAGTTCCAAACAAATTGTTCATCACAATTATAATGTGTGACTTACACATTCAAATAAATGGTTAGATTTTTTAAAAATCTAGTAACTGCAACATGAGATTCTGATGTTTTGTGAGAGTTTGCAAATAGTTTTTCAACAAACTATAATCTTCCCTCTCATTCTGCACCTCCCCTCCTTTTTCCAACCTCACACCCTCGCTCCCTGCAGCAGAGCAGAGAAACAAAGTTAGATTATATGATTGTACGTGATGTTTCAACTGAACAACATTTCTCCACTGTGGTTTATGTAGAACAGAAGGGCACAACAAATCTCTGCAGGTTCCTTCTGAGTGGGACAACAAGAAAAGTAACAAACAGGTGGAGAATGATCCCATACTTCTGTGTGTGTGTGTGTGTGTGTGTGTGTGTGTGTGTGTGTGTGTGTGTGTAAAATCAGTTATTTGAGCTGCTGGAAGTTGCTGTGAGCTTGTGTCTGTGTGTGTGAAACTGTTTACTCATGGCAGACAAATCAGATTGAAGATGCTCCGTGCTTGGCTGTAAATAAGCTGAACTCCACCACTCACTTTGTCATATGTACTTGATTCACACACTCACATACCACAGATGTTTACTCTGATCTGCGTTGAGAACAGCCAGTACTACTTTACTGGATTAGATTTATCCATAATGGAACTTTAGTGTATCAATCGATAGTTAATGGATAACCAAATTTTGCTGTCGTGACTCATAGTTTCAGTGATGTCGATGTGCTTTCAAAGTTAAGCACCCACTTTACATTCCAACTGTTTGTCTCATAATGTCTCTCCCCTTGTGTTTCAGGTATGAGTGGGGGAGTCAATGTGAAGTCGGCCCCTCGAGGGCCCCCCTCGTCGGGAATCCCTCTCCCACGTAGCCTGTTGCCCTCTTCCCCCAAAGCAGACCCTCGCCACCGGGCTAGTGACCTGCCCAGGCCCTCAAGTCAAACTCCTAAATACACTCCCACGCACACACCCACACAATCTCCTTCCCTCTGCCCACGGAACTCCAGCATCCCTGGTCCTTCCTCCAGGGACATGCTGAAAGATGCTAACCTGAAAAGTCAACTCTTCCAGCGAACAGGAAATCGAACTTCTCCCCTGGTGTCCCGCTCTGCCTACAGCAGCCCACTGACCCAGCGGCGACCTCCACCACCACACTCCAAAGACACACTGGATCTTGGAAAACCTGCCCTGCCTCAAACCTCAACACAATTACCACATAATGGCAATCACAACAGAAACTCCTTCAGCAATAAGAACCAAGCATGGGGAGCCAGTAACCTGTGTCCACGGCAACAGTTCAGCACAGGCGACAACTACAACTCTAAAACGGCAACAGAGACCATGCCCAGGGGAGAAAATCCTCCAGAAAACCAGTCAGCCCATTCCACCATGTTAAACAACGGTAACCTCCGCCCCCCTCTCACTCAAACAAGCTATGAACACGCCATCAAATGTCGCAGCAACTCCATGAGCCAGTCAGATGAGGAGATGGGGACCTCTGAGGACAGCAGTCCGGCCTCCTCTCCCGGGCCCCTGCCACTGCCGCCCATCATGTTCACACTGCCCGGGACGTTGAAGAAGGATGTCGATACTCAGGAGCAAAACCTGGACAAGGATGCTGCGTCCACAGAGACACCAAGAGTCAACATGGCCACTGTGGCCCCCTTCAGCTACAGGTGAACACACACATCACACACACACAGGCAAGTTATCATGACTATGACTTCCATCATGAGCTCCCATTCTCTTGTCATCACATGATCACTCTCTTGTCTACTGACCCACTCATGCACTCACTCACGCACTCACACAGACTCACACACACTCGCACGCACGCACGCACGCACACACACACACAGACACACAGACACACACACACACACACACACACACACACACACACACACACACACACACACAGACAGGCCCCCACTCTGGATATTAAAGATGAGCCCCCAGAGGCCTGTTTTGGCCATTTCAGTCTAATTCCTCTGTATATCTTCCAGTCATACATTTGTGTGCATGCATAGACACACTTGGTGTTTTCTGGAGCAGAGTTGATTGTTGCAGTGTCCTCTTGTCAGCCTCTGGGCTCCGTCGATATACTGCTGCCGTGTCTTCTACACCCACTATTATGAAGTGGGATGAAAACAAGAAGAGGGTTGGCCTTTCTAATTTTGTATGAATGAAAATAATCAATCCCTGAAGAATGAATCCGAGAGCAGAGAAATCTTTTCACAGAATTTGTTGTTATACTATATAGAAGATAAAAACTAAAATAAAAAGTTTAAGATGGGAGCTGACATTTTCAAGCTTCACCTTTCCTTTTATATGGATGGAATTATGTTCAGTGCTTTGTGCATCAGCAGCGATTTTACTTTCATGGAAAAATGAATGTGCCACATCTGGGAAAGGCCATTTTCTCTGAATGTTACACCCAGCAGCCTGTGTGTTTGATTATAATCAGTGGTATTGAGGTGATTTGCTTGTACAGTAACCAGTGTGCGATGGCTTTGTTGTGTCGTGTCGACAGGCTGCAGGTGCAGGATGGAGAGTTTTCAGTGGACGAGCTGAGTGACTGCTCATCTGGATCCATAGAAGTCTGCTGCGATGACCTCACACCAGGTTTGATGCACTGACACACACTTTGCAGAAATTACAATCATCATCAACTTCTCTCTGTCTCCACTGTACAAATCACGATGGCCATTTTTTTGGGAAGGCCAAGACCTCTTCTGGCAGGTATGAGTGCCTTTACTCTCAGCCAGACAAATTTACTGTGACAGGGTCACAAACGGCGTCAGACAGGACATGCCAGCGGCCGAAATTTGGGTCTCATTGTGTAACCTGAATAGACTCAGTGAAGACTAAGGAACAAGCATTCTCTGTCTAAATGTGCGTCTGTCATGCTCCTCCTCATCATTCCTGAGGAGCCATGTCTGAGGTTAGGTGGTATCGCTTTGTGTGTGTGTGTGTGTGTGTGTGTGTGTGTGTGTGTGTGTGTGTGTGTGTGTGT